TACGCATTTCTAATAAACCATGAAACATAAAAGACGACTAAAAAGTCGATTGTGTATAACTTCAACTTTGTGAATTTTTTTGTTGCACCACCCCGTATGAAATAGCGTATGTATGTGAAGGTGGAATTATTTATTTAAAAAATGAAATTGCATTTTCAACTTAAATAAATGATGTTTTGTTCACAAATGCATTTGTGTTTTCAAATTTGTTTTATTACATGTGCGCATTAGATGATATTTTCAAATTAGACTTAGTCTAGATATAAATTAAAATATCTATTAGGAAAATTATGTTTAATTTTAATTGTAGTATTATTCATTTTTAATGAATTAATATTTTAATAAGTCACGTCGCAGTTCAACTATTTTTTTTTGATTAAGTTGATAAAAAATTTGGCAATTATTAAACAAGTTCCTTATAAGTTTTAAAAAATGGTTTTGACTTTGTAATATATCACTGTGGAAAGTCTTTAAAATTGTAAGGTCTCGAAATAGGGCAATTTCTGATGCACTGAAGAGAAGGGAAAATAATATAAATAACAAAAGGCAATTGAGAGGATCATTGAGATATCCCGACCAAAACTAAATATTGGTCAGATGGTTATAAGTTAGCTTGTAATTTGAATAAAAGGTATGAAATAAAACGTTTCAAATTAGGTTGTAAATAATATGGAAATCCAATTTGAGGTAGTGTTTTGTAACAGATGTATAATGTCTTTTAAATGTTGCAAAGTTGTGTTATGAGGAAAGTATAAAAACGAAAACTATCTCTAGGACGTTTTACAAAGTAAATTACATATTTAGCGAAATTATCGTTAAGCCAAAAAATCCTGTATTTAAATAATACGTCTTTCTATATCTATTTCGTATATAACTATATCTCAAGAACTCCCTATCAAATGAATAACGTTATTTTATTCGGATTACAGGTGGCGAATGTCTGTGTCTGAAAATCAATAGTCGATAAAGTTAAGTTTAAATATTCAAAATCCAACTACGTCAGTATTTCGAGTTTGGGAGAAAGACCTTTTGCATTGCGTGACCAATGAAATCTAAATTTATTTCGAGGACAAAGAGCTGAGCGCCTTCGTGCGGGGCCGTCGAATCAGAAAAAAAACATGGGATTTTAGAGATCATTGAATAGTCAATTGCCTTTTCTTCACGAAATCTTGGGATCTTTCAAAACATTTACAATGCAATTATTTCCCGAAATAGTGCCTAGATATACGTTTTCACAAACATTCATCTAACGTTCTTAAAGATAATTCTGAACCCCAATCCAGTGTAAAACCCGTATAATTTTTATTGAAAGGGATAGAAATGCTTCTAGATATAACAAAGTAGAGAGATAACTTGTCAATGAAGATATTCATTACAAAATGTTTAGATATAATAAAAAATATATCACTAAGCAATATATAAATTTAATTTTAGACATTTAATGCAAAACATCGTATTGAAATTTTCATAACAAAAGTTTCAAAATCATCAAATTTAATTCTAGTTTGTACGTTCTAAGCGTATACTTATTACGTGAGATCTTATCTATAAAAATAATTATTATTGTAGAAAGATTAGACAAAATATGCGACTCGAATGAAATTGTCACTCCAATTACTCGACGGCACTCATTTTAAAGATGAACAATTTCATGTATTTTAATATACAAAAATCATTATTAAGAAAATAAATATATTAAATCTTAAATTTATTTACCTAATTTTTAACTTTTCTAAAAGACAATAGAATATAAAATTTAGAAAATTCGTCAAAAAGTTCTTTAGGGGGCAAGTTTGAAGAATTATTGTTAATACTCTCAGTTGTAAGTTACATTTTACTACTTAGATTTCACTTGCAAAATAAATAAATACTAAAATTGATCTTGGCGTTTCATTGATAAAACTTAGTTTTGTCATTGTCTGATGAATACTGAATGGTAAGTATTTTTCAACAATTACTGTATTTTGTTTAACTACTGTCATGTGCTATAAAAAAATTTAAATTTCATATGCACTGATCACTCATTTCTCTATCAACATATTTGCAAATGACCTCGTATGTCATACAGCACAGTCAGTTTTCCTCAAAGCCAACATAAATGTGGCAACGCAGTTATAGCGTTGTCAATTTGGAATGCAAGTTTCAAAGACGTTGAGCATATAAAAATGGTTGGAACGGAATCTGTTATAATTATTCACAATTCTATCATATAGTCAGAAAGTTCTCTTTCGTTTAAAAATAATAGCTGGGACAAAAATCCTAATATATTTTAATACTTTTGTTTGTTTTTGTAAGGATCAGTGTTGTCGGGAATACGTAAAACCGTCGAGGTGTTTTGTTTAAATTCATTTTTTCATTATTTATTTTCCAAAACTTTCCCACTATTAAATATTTACTAAAAGATTGGAAAATGTGTACTTCTACAAATACGTTTCGTTTGGAATAAAAGTGTAGAGTATGCGCTGTTGTTGTTAATATTATAGATACTAAATACGAAATATAATAAAAAATATGTAATATGTAATATATAATACGTAATATAATATATATATGAATATGTAATATATAATATAATAATATATATATATATAATATATATATATAATATATAATATATAATATATTATATATAATATATAATATATAATATAATAATATATATTATATATATATAATATATAATATATATATATATATATATAATAATAATATATAATATATATATATATGTAATGTATAAGTATAATATATAATAATATCGTATAATAATATCAGAAGATAATTATTAGAAACTAACTACATAAATCAACTAGATTTGACGTCTATTTTTGGAGGTAACTGACTGTTTTTTCAGAAGTAGCAAGTGCTCATCTCCAAGACTCCTATCAGGAGCTCACGCATCACGGCTGCCCCTTCCTTCGGCTGCCGGGCCGGCGGCGCGTCGGCGCGCAAGGCGAGGAGGGGGGGAGGGGAGGGGGCTGGCGCGCGCGCCGCACCCTGGGCGGCGGCGGCCAGCGCCGGGGGTGGCAGCCGCCACCGCGCCGCCGCCGCGCTGTCGCCGTCCTGCGTGCCGCGTGCCCCGGCGCGGGGGTGGCGCGCGTGTTTCGCCAGCACCTCCGCTCCACCACGACCCGACCCGCGCCGTCCCAGGCCCCGCCCCGCCCCGTCCCCCGTCGCGGCACCCCCCGACCACAATCATACGGCGGCCCCGATCTGCGCTTCGACCCGCGCAAGTGGGCCAGGCACCCGCGGCCCCGCGGCCCGCCCCTGACCCACCGCCCTCCCCTGCCCCCTTGTGCACTGCGGGCGGCGCCGGCGGCGCGGCAGGCCGCGGCGGCGGCGGCGGCGGCGGCCCGCCGCCCTGATCGATGCGTGCGTGAGGCTATGCGTAAGGATGCGCGGCCTCCCCCGGGAATGCGAGAGCACTTCCTGTTCCGCCGGCCGCCGCTGGAGGGCGGCTCCTGATCCCCGCGAGATTTATCAGCCTCGGGATTTGGGGGCTGCACGCTCCTTCGCTTCCACATGCCAATTGTTTCTGTGTAATTTCTATTGCGAGGCCGACAGACGACCAGAAATTAATTTCAAAAAATAAGTTTTTCAAAGTTGGGATCTATTTTTTGGAACCAAGACCAATGGCGCTTTTTTTACATTCTATTCTCATTATTGCATCACCAATGCCATTCACATATTCATGAACCACGAGAACATTTTTTCTTTCGGACAATGATTAAACATGAAAAAAATACTGCAATATAATAAATTGAGGCAAAAAAGAAAATTCGAAGAAATTGTTCAGTTAATGACATAAATATTACATACTTATGACTTCATGAAGTATTCAATATGTAAATAATATGATGCACATCCTATATTAACTATTAATCATTATTAAAAATGTTCTCTGCTTCGCATACAGTAAAAATCAAGCTGAAGGTAAGTAAAATGCTGTAAGGTGCATTGAGGTATTTTAAGTTGTCCTTTCACACTAACATTTATTTTAAATAATTTTGATAAAATGAGAAAATCTTGGGTTTTTTTCGGAAACATTTTTTCTTCAAACTGAAGAGCCGATTTGAATGAGATACATTTTTGTTTATCTGTCCAGTACACGTAAAATGTGAGCGTAAGCATGATTCTTAGAATAATAGCTAAACCTTTTCTGACATAACTATATGTACGGTCCTGAAGATTCTGTGCTTGTAGAACCGGTATACCTGCAGTCGGGTTGTGTGTATGATTTACAAATTCATTGCGATTGCATATGTATGTGACTATTTTAGACGTTCTCTCGGAATTTTAAGTATCCTGTGACCATGACACACTTAAAGCGGATCTCATACGTTACTCTCCTCTCAACTTAGGTAGGACGGAAGATGTCCATCTTGTCAGTTCTGTCTCGAATTATTTTCAATTTATGTTATATTCATAAGACATGAAACATTCAGAAGACATTGCCATCAAAATTGTAAGCAATTGATACATTGATGACCAAAATTTGATAGGAATTTTGATGTACGAATGCAAGTAAGATTAAAGTGGAATTTACGTTATGATTCAAAAAGATAATAACATATAAATTGTTTATCACACACGAACTCTTCTTCAGAAATTAAAAAAAAATCACAAATAGAGCACTTCGTTTATAAGAACGCTAGAGAAAACAGTTCCCCTTTCTATTAAACAAGTGGAGGATCACCTTAGTAAAGGGTATGTGTATTAAGTGTTCTTTTAGGAAAATAAAGGGCAAAATCAATTTGTTGTCAGCAGTAAGACCATCCAGCAAACTCTCGCTTAGTGTCAAACGATCCGATCCCACTGACAGCTAAGCAACAAGACGTCAATCCAGTCCGACCCCCCTCCCCCTTCACACACACTCACAGACACACACTTTCTTCACTGTCGGCAACCAAAAGTGTGAACCTTGAGGTACACCTCTAAGGAAAACATGAACGCGAGCGCAAGCGACCAACAGCCCTTGCAGCGGGGGCGGTTACACGCACCACTCGTGTCCGCGGCGGTTCGCAGCTCCAGCTTGCTGTAGGTGCGGGCGCGGGCGGGCAGCGCGGGCGACTGGCAACGAGCCGGTGGGCGGCAGCCGCGGCGGCGGCGGCGGCGGCGCCGGGGCGCGGTGGCGGTAGGGAAGGGCTATCGACCGGTCTCCGCCGCCGCCCTCTCGCCTGCCGCCGCCGCCGCCGCCGCCGCCGCCGCTGCCGCTCCCGGCGCCGCCGCCGGAGCCACCGAGAGGCTGTGTCGACTCCCCGTGGACCGCCCCGCCGCCTCTTGGCTGTTCCTTTGAAAAAGTGCTTCCGCTTAAGGAAACTGACAGAACTGTTTAGCACGCTAGTTACTAGCAGGCGGTGTGGAAGACGGACGGGAGCGATATGCAGCTAGGAAGGAGTGGCAGGGAGGGAAGGAAGGAGAAATTCAGAGGAAAAGGTGTATTGCATTTGGCGTGGAGAAGGGCGTGTCATTACATACGCATATATTTTGTGGAAAGTTGCATTCATGAATTTAGATTGAAATTTTGACAAAGACGCCACACTTCATGTAAGCAATTTAGGAGGTGAATTCACGTTTTTGAACATTATTTAGCCTGTTGATGCCTGTTTAGCCTGTTGATATGGTGATCATTTAGACTGATAAACTACAAATTCACGAATGTACGAAAAATGACATAGGGAGTGATATTAATAAGTTTAAACCAAGTAACTTATCCATAAGCAAAGTTATTATTCGAAGTTAATAAGTTAAGCAAAGTTATAATACATCCGTAAACAAAATTCCTACATAAAAAATATTGGTTGTTTAATGAAACAAATAGAGTTGGGGATGTGGAAGGAACTATACAAAAATAAGACAACGATGAGATTTACAGCTTTTATTTTAAAATAACAATAACCACAACACAATACAACTACAATTATAAAAAAACTTAAACTTGAAGTAAAGTTGCCACAAAACACCTTGTGTAATCGGGCATGGGATTCAGTCACCGTCCCTCGGCGGTGTCGCATTGGCTGCGTCCAGCAGCGCCGGAGTCCCTCTGCATGCAGAGCTTTGGCTGGATTTCGGAGCCCTCATGCTTCCCGTGAGGTCTGCACGTCCAGTGTGAGTGTAAACCTAAGTTATATGCTTCCGTGCTCTCTCGTGATTTCATTTTGTACAGTGCCAGTGCCGGAGACCGGACCGGAGAAAGGTGTTGAAATAACTGTCGTTGGCACACTTCTATAAGAAAGTTATTGATGATGCTGGCAGGTCTAAACCATCATACTGCATGTGGAAAGCTACACATTTATGTAAGGTTGTAGGGAAAATATTACAAATTATTTTAAAAAGACAAATGAATATAGTACATATTATTTACACACATGTGTAATTATTCGCAAGAGAACTTGGAACCGTTAGTTTTGATCGTGAGCCCTATTACTCACAAAGTTTGATAAAAAGCTTTATATTCTTTGTCATCTATTCCCTTTCTATAATCATCTTGTAGATATTCACTTCGATCTCCTAGTAACCACTTGGTTAGACCAATGAAATGAACACACGATTGTTTTCGAAACTCTTTTCAAAATTCAATTTTAATTACAAATGATTTTCCTTTTAACATCTCTTATGGCATGTACAAGAAAGATATTTTGTCAATTGTTTTCCTCGGTCTATTTAAAATTGTTTCGTATATAACATGAAATATTCTTATTTTTGATGTTATATATGTATGTGTTTTTGTCAATAATTTAAATATTACATCTTCGTACATCAGAAGTAAAACAGTAACTATTGGCTTACTATCACAAAATCATAGATATTTTGATTCTGGATAACAGTTTCTCAGCCAACAAAGTAAATGAATGTGTTACAAATTCAAATATATTCTAATGCCTGTTATTGTGTAAATTACATAATTTAAACATGATTGTTTTCTCTATATCGATTCTAATGAACAGCGTTCAAAACCATTTCTTCATCGAACAATTGCAATTCATTGAAAAGGATCGCAAATTTTGTATTTTCGATTGAGATATTAATGTACACTTTTAAGAGCCCAATAATTCAATTAATGAGAAGAGAAATAAATAAAATGTATTTACCGCTGGTTGATTAATACGATAGCACTAGCACTCGCTATATCCGGAACGTTTTTGGCGACTCACTCCTGTGTCCTTGACCTCCTATGGTTCTAGGAGTGCTTAAGGATTTGCAAACGCTTGCACGTGTCTGCATGGCTTCCCATCGATGGTCAAAGGTTTCTACTGATGGAACAGGAGATAAGCTCAGAAAAGGAGAACCTAAACATTTAGAAGTTACTGAATGAAGCTCTTGAAGAAAATGTCATAAGAAAAAACAATTATTTGAATTATGTCATTTCAAAGAGTATATTACGCAAATAATTTCTTTCGTACACGCTGTTGTGATCAATTCTTTACTATTTGAGTGAAAGTTTAATATTATTTTGATGGAATTAAAAGTCTACATTATTGGAAAAGAGTAAAAGGATTTTCACTTTATCTACGAATTTAAGCAATCATTGCAATCCTTTAGAGCAACAAGTAACATTTTAGTCTCGGGTAGTAACTTATTGGTCACTGCAATCAACAGTGCCAAACTACAAGTATCTTCATGAACCCACAAAATTCTTGCTCAATGACAAGTTTCGACCTAATGCCCAGATCTGGCAACGTTGGACGAAAGAGATGGGGTCAGTTATAAGGGAAGCTTTCCTTTACGACTGCTGGACATTACGAAAAATAATTAACAATTAGGAAACTTTGAAAATTAAAACAAAGTAATGTGTTTCATATTAATTGTAACATTTGCATTTTGTGTATATACAAAGTAGGACTTATAACTTACATTTTAATTATACAAAATAAAATATTTACAGTATTTTAAAACTACTTTATATTTTCATTCCGTATTTTTTTAATGTTTTTGAGAAGTCTGTTTTCAACAGTAAATGTATCGTGGGCAATGCATGAACTATTCCTTATTTGTGCGACTCTTTCAAGGCACTTGAATCAGAAAAGGTAAAATTTAATAATAAAAAGTAGTGGTATTTCCAAAGTACAGCATATTTTCAACTATATTTTCATCTGTTCATTAGTCTCGCATGTTTCATGCTGCAAACCTAGATTAACCTCCCATCGGAGTCCTTCAAACTCGTGCACTCGGCTAAACTAGATTGTTTGGTCCCTTGGGGCGAGGAGCGCACGGCTTCCACCAGAGCTGGAATCATCGCTTCACCGGCCATTTCTATTCGATACTCTCGCATTACTATTTTTATCAGAGTCTTAAAAATGCACAATAAAAACGCGCGAATTACACACTTGTACTCTACAGTGTCGTTTCTATTTGATTCCCGCTCTTGCGTTCGTTCATAATCGTCCACCAAACAACCCTTGAAACCCAGGCGCCATGGATTATTTTTTTTCGGTCCCTGGTGGTGAGGTGCGCATGGCATCCTCCAGGGCCGGAACGCGCCAGCCCTCTCACCGGCCGGCGGCGGCGGCGGCGGCGGCACGCAGCCACGTGGCGCCGGCGCCGCTGCGCCATCGACCGCAGCGGTCAGGGTGGGACGGTGCCCGGCGGCGCCGGGGGAGGGGGCGGGGGCGGGAGGGGCGGGGAGCAGCGGCCGCCGCCGCCCGTCGTCAGCGCCGTTTCGCGCGGGTTCCGCATCAATCCTCGCGCCCGGGCGGCGGCGGGGGAAGGGGGGGGGGAGGGGAAATGGCGCGCGGGGTGGCGGCGGCGCTGGCGGTGGCTCTGGTGGTGGTGGTGGATGGAGGAACCAGAGGGCGGAAGTGACGAGGAGATGGACAGCGATGGCACAGACTTTGATGATCACGTCTTTACGGGCGGTACAGTCCGTTGATGGGCGCGGGGGCGGTGGTCGGGCTGGAGATGCGAGCGCCGGGGGAGAACAGCGGCGATGGAGGCCGAGCCGCTGTGGGGGGGGGGGTGGGGGCGGGCGGCAGAGTCAGAGGCGAGCAGGGCGTAGAAAGCGAATGGAAGGGAAGAGAAGAGAGGAGAGGAGAGGAGAGGCGACGCGGGCGGCCTGCTCGCTCGTCCGCTGTGGCCGGTCTCGTGCCGCAGCGCAGGACCTGCGCCCCGGCCGTGATGGACGCCCTGCCCTGGCCTCTTTTCTGAACTATGGCTTTTGGCGCGCTTCGCTCGTGATTTGGCGCACCTGCGCGTGCCCAAGTTTAAAACAGAAAGTATTTCGTAGATGTTTACGATAGCGAGTGATTATGGGTTCTTTTTGCGATCCAGAACATTTGTTTGATCTACTCCATTAAGGGCAATAGTATGACCTAATATGGTGCACACGATTTTCTGATTTGTGTAAGTGAACGCGTTCCTAATACTTTCCTAAATTAGAAATAACTGTTTTAATACATTTTCGATCACGCGTCAGCATTATTTTATGTTGTTAATCTTTGGCCTATTCGTAATTTTGGACATACAAATACTAAAAAAGCAGGCTTCTTTTATTATTTATTCTTTAGTATACTGATGAATTCGTGAGAGCAGAACTAAATGAATCGAATTGAACTATGTTATTTGTCACTGATGAACATTATTTACTATTTCCGTCTTTATATACGACTTTTGGAGGTGAGTAAATGATAAATTGAAAGTATAATTGTCGATAAAAATTGAAAATTTTAATAATTGGTTAACAACTTTTCTTAAGAATTCAAAGATAAGTTAATAACCGTTGCAATGAAGCTTCAAAAGTTGCACAAAACCATAAGTTTACACTAATGTAATAAATGATATTATTTCATAGAACTATTGCATTTTTTAGTGAATGCGGCGTTTGTGTTTAAATATAATTATTCTACCACAAACGTCTATACAAAAACATACACACGCACATCGCTCTTTGTAGTTAATATTGCCATTATGATGAAAATACCCTCGGAATCAAAATATGCCTCATCTTCAAACACAATTCGGTCCAGTCTCAAGAAAGTTTTATATTTTCTTTCCTAGTCAATATATTAGTGCATTGTCGTAGACAATATACAATTGCGAATGTTTTCCGCTTGCAATTATAACATTCTTTACACTGTAAGATTTTAAAAACATGATATGTACAAAAATAGATTAGTATATGCCTCTTTTCAAAACCCTTGTCAAACTATCTGAATGTGTAAATAATATAATCAGAAATGAGGATGACATTTAACGGTTATTCCCAATGAGTTGTACTACATTGCTTCATGTGCTACTTCTTGATATTCCGCCATTTCGTCAGAAACATGTGACGTAAAACATGTGACGTAAGCGTTCAATAGCAAAATGCAGCTACAAACAAAATATACTCAAGCATTAATTGTGCATTTTTATTAAAATTCCCAATAAAAAATACTTTTTATGAACAACGAGCCATTGATTTTGGTCTAGATAAATGTTCATAATACGACTCATTGTGAATAGAAATTCAACTATATTACTACTGTAGCGTAAACCAATGCAGGCTCCCGCTGTGTATGCGACCCGCGGGGCGCGCTTCGAGGTCGTGTCCGTCGGCGGCAGAGGGCAGCCTAGTCGGCGGCAGCGATGTAACGGTCGAGGGAGGCCCAGCTCCAGCTGTAGTCGAGGCGCAGGTGGCCGTGGCGGCTGAGGGCGTAGCGCGTGGCGGGCGCCGGGGGCGGCGGCGGGAGCGGCTCGGGCGACTCCGGGGGCGGAGGCAGCGCCATCGTGCGGCTGTCGAAGTAGCAGCAGCGCTCCTCGTCGTCCTCGCTACTGCTGCCGCCGCCGCTCAGGCTGCAAGCACACAACACACGCGCTCGGTACACTCTGTTCCTACCCGACGTTTTTAACACACTTATTTCTACCAACTCTTACATAGGGGAGGGGGCGTGATCGAACATTATCATGTTGAAATCATACGCCTTCATTTACCAAACGTTGGCAAAACATCTGCTGGGAATTTTGAACTTCCATTATTTTTATCTTTCCACCAATTGGAGAATATTTCTGTGACACCAGTTTATTTATGGAACTAGAATGCAAGACATTTTACCTTCAAAACCTCTACTTAAAGAAATATTACATGGAATATGCTTTGATTAAACGTCGGCCTATTGCGAACTTAGTTGAAAGCGCGTTAAAGGTGAGTAGCACGGGCCATTTTATAATCAGCGATTATGAGTTGTCCGTTTACCTTTGATGTGAACAGCATAAGTTTTAATTTTCTATTAAAAATTTCTTATTAGTATTCTCAGAATAGTTTCAACATGATTTGTATCAATTGATAGTATATGATACTATTTAGTGACGACATTGAAATTAAATCACTCGTGAAAACAACCTCTAACCTCCAACTGCAATGACTGAACTGACTCTTCGAGACCTTGTCAGCTGGTACTCGACTCAGCTGGCTAGCGGAAGAAAACACTTCGCGGAGTACATTTCACGAAATCTTCAGCGAACCACCGTTTTAGTTCCTGTCAAAACATTCGTCCGCTAGCTTAAACGAAACACGGCGCCCGCACAATTTTCGCACGTTCTTTTCACACTTTCCCCATTATGAATTTTATTAGAGGTTAATTCGACACTTTAGAATATCTAGATCTGTAATCTGACTTCTCCCTTTGTAAAGACCGCCAGAATTCATCCCTTCGTATGCAAGTTACAGAACCCTAATCAGATTTGTTTGATAAAACCATCCCTGCCTAATAATCCATTAATATATATATATATATTATTATATATATATATATATATATTATGGGATTTATAGGCAGGGATGGTTTAATCGTTTAGTCTGCAACACCATTTGTTATTGTCGATCTATCTCATTACAGGGTTTAATGCCTTATTTTTTATTCTGTATGACTCAATAGGCTTTTCTTATGTCATGGCATTCACTATAATTTGTTTAAACTATAATTTAGATAATTTAATTATTTTAAACTTAGCTACAGATTTACATGGTTGTATTTTCATGTGCTTTGTTCTATTTCGTCCTTTTTTTACAGTTTCTGTAATCTATGTTGCATTCACGCATATCTCATTGTTAAAAGTTAGGTTGATTAATAAAAAAAGTTCCACTTAACTAATTATTTCAATTTGTATAAAGTGGTCAAAAGTAAAAATACCACTGTAGAGGTACATCATAGTGTTGCACCTTCCACCATTTTTCTTAATTTCAAAACTTCATTTCAACTTACTCTAAAATTAATTTCAGGTCCTGAGAAAATGATATTTTCAATTATTTATAGACAACTCTCATGTGTTTATTTTAAAACCTTAAGCTAGTTAATAAACATAAAACTGAAGGAGAAAAAAATTAATGTAAAAAGTGGCTAAAGGTACACCCCTTTCCCCTACCTACTTATACTTGATTGATCGATTGAGTCATTATTTCTTCTTTTCTGGGGCGTCAATTGTTGTGGTCATTAGTTCCATAAGTGCATCACGGGAGGTGGTGGTGTTCATTTCTCGCTGAAAGGCGAGATCTGGCGCCGGTCTAAAAGTCGGCCGTGAGTTTTCCCATTTCCAGTTATCTGCAGCGAGCGAGGCATCGCCCAGCCGGGACAAACTCTGGTCTCCCAACGTATATGGTAGTGAAGTACATGTAAGAGTGAGAGTAAGTGGTGAGAATGAGTCACGGAAGATGAAGAAAAGATCGCGCTCGGTCTGTGGCTCGTTTGTTCGAGTATTGCTGTGGCATTCTCCTGGTTTTTAGCAGAGAAATCAGGGAAAAGAACTTTACAATGTAACTTTGAAACTCTTGCAATGCTCCGAACATTCCGAGACTGATACATGAATGAAATATCTTGCCTCTGGACAATAAACTCATTAAATCATCTGTTTATCTAATCCTGTTCATCACCCACAACGAGACCTGAAATCACTTTAAGCTTTCGGAGAAAGACTACATCGCGCGCATCAAGGGATAACACACGCGAGATCTGCGTCCAGTGGCTAGAATCCAGTCCTAACACCCAGGAAATTGTGTGTTGCCGGCGACACGCTCTCTCTTTCTTCGTCACCAATCAATAGGGGCCTCAACGGGCGCCTCGCCTGATTCAGATTCGATTCGTGAGTCGTCTCTGGAAACGCGAGCGCAATGACAGGAGCGTGACGAGAGGGGAAACCCTCAAGCGAACGAGTCTAGGGCCTTGGGTTTCTCTGAGGTAAACGGTGGCCGTCCTCACGACATTTCCAGACGCGGCTCGTGTTCCGAAGAGGAGCACGAAGAACAAAGAGTGCGGGAAGGCTGATGGATTTAATTGATCGATTTGGTCGCCTTTCGAGTCCATTCGGAACTCTTCAACGATATAAGTTTCCATTCTACGTACAATACAATGCAAAAACCTTAAGATTGTACTTCAAATAGATGATGGATAAGAATTGCTCACATTGCACTTGAAAGAAATCGAGATATTTTTAACAAGATACCTATTTTGACTTCAATAAACTAATATAATATATCTCTGTCTTAACCCTTCGGTGCACGGAGCTCGGTTTCGCGACCTTCCAGTTGGTGGTCCTCAGAGGCCCTGTGTGAATTATTTACTGGTTTGGGGTCGCAATGAAGAAGTATTTATTGAAATGTTTTTATTATTAAATTATCTTATATTTTAAACACTTAACACATAATAAACATTTTAAACTTTTAATTTGCAATTATAGCGCAGAATAATGGGTTCTGAATGTTCTTAGCAAACATTATTTTTGTTCATAAATCATTGTGATTTTGTTTTACTGTCTTTTTTCTGGGGTCATAAGTAGCACGTACGACGAAAGTATCGATGTTAGTAGAAACATAATTTATTATAATTTTACCATGGTATTGACATTTGTAAAGATTCGCCTTACCACTTCCGTTTCTTTGGAGATGATCTCTCAGGAATTTCCTATTGCGTTCATGTGTATCCCGAAGGTACGAAGAGCATTTACAGTTATGTTGGGGATATTAGAGTTTCTCACTCTTTTCATGTTAACACGACATTATTTTGCTAATTTCTTCAAATCACCCCGTTTCCCATTTGCTGACAGTCTTGAAGGTATTTATGTGAAGATTATATATGCATTCAAAGCAACAATATCAATAATGTTATAAATTAACCCATTGAACATAGACGAGTATCCCTTTCACGATGTGTAGTCATAAACCAATTGATCAATGAGGTAAACTGCAACCTTTGGTTTCTGTATGCAAAAATAATAGATTTTTAAAGTTTTTTGTCAGAACATTTTTGGCCCAGATGCATTGTGCTAGGAAGATAAATGATTTTGTATGATACAATAATTGAAAGATTTCCATGGCTTTTAAAAATACCAAAAAATGAATCTCTATTATAATATTGCGGTTTAGAAAATATTTCTCACTTGTTAGCAAGCAATCTACCAAGAAATGTTAGTTTCTTCTCCCATAGAAATTCGATCAGGTCTCCAGACGGACAAAATTAGTTATGTCATAACTTCCACTGAAAAATGGCTGCACCGAAACCTTTATTGTTGATTGATTGATTGGGTAGGACAGGGAAGAGGAAGGATTCAGGACGCGTCAACTGCTAAGATCATTAGTCCCGTACGTGGAGTGCATGTTTTATCGCTGGAAGTGACTGTAATCTTCCCCCGCTGGCTGGTGAGATCCGGCGCTGAGCTATGTCGGTTTATCTCCCAGCCCCGGTTCCCGCCTTCTCTCCAGGCAGGACCATCTCTAAGCTCCCGACTGGTTTCCCGACAAGTGTGGTAGCGTAGAGCAGTTAGTGTGTGTGAGTGTGTGTGTGTAAATAAGATATGTGAGTAGGACAAGGAAGAACAAGGAAAGACCTGGCTTTCTTAGGATACAGCTCCGGTATTCGCTTGGTGTTGATAAGAGATGCCAAAGAAAGTTTTCGTTCAGATCCTCTAAAATTCTCCTCTAGATAGAGTTTGAATGCGACGTTGCTGACAGTTGTACCGAAAATCCTGCTACCGTTGGGACTCAAACTCTGAGACTTCCCAGTCAAAGGCACTGCGTAAGTTGATACCCTGCACCACCTTTGCCGATCCTCTCTTTATTACTGTTTTTGATGCCAAATCTTTTGCAACAGGTTCATCTTTCCTTATGCCACAGTATATTTTCTCACGAAGGGCAAATCCATTCCCTGAATCACACCACCAAACAATTTTTATTCCTCATTTATGTTAACGCGGTTTGTGTTAATTGCGCAAGACAAGTAAGCAAACACGTCTGGAATGATTGTGTATAAATTTCAACAACTTAAATGTGCTTCTAATGCTGGCAAAAAGCAGTTGAGGGGAAACAGACTACCGGGCCTCGGGGGCCCACAAAGTGGAAAGCACGACTAACAGCAGAAAAGTTGAAAAAGAAATGGAAACCTCTCTTGCTTTCTATATTGTCTTTTGCATTATGAAAAGAAACATAACGCAAAGAGTCGCATAAAAGGACATACCTGTAATTTGAGCGGGAACATATTTACAGCAAAAAGAAAAAATGCCAGGCCGCTGAGGCGCACTAAGTGCACTGAATTGTTTAAAGTATTGCATACTATTACCTAATAGTATACTGCCATTTTCAAAATAATATGAAATTTACAAGAAATATTTGGACTTTATTCACATCAAATTTCAATCATTAATGTAACGACTGTGATATAACTAACTCGTATCAGATAATTATAAGCCGAAGCAGTATCCTAACAAACGGGCCACGGAACGCGCGCGATCTTTCCTTCCTTTTCCTTGTCCCTATCCTCACCCTTACACACACTTACACTAACATGCACTACACTACCACACATGCC